GAAGCGACGAAAGGGAATGACTTTATCGGCGTTCTTGTTTTTGACAGCCAGGATATGGGATCACATTCCAAAGCAAAGTACAAAGGAATGTATTGTTCTTAGTTGCTGTGGTAGTGGGCATTTCAGCCGCAGATGTTTCACGCAGTTTGATTCAGTCAAGCTGCAATATCGGGTACAGATTCGAAGATAAATATCTTAAGTTGCTCAGCTGAATGATGGCATCTGTTTACCGGATATTTTGGTCATTGCTATCGAATGTAGGAAAGTCGCTATGATTGAAATGATCATCCATCCATTCATTTTCGCATTCCTCTATTTTTTTTGAGTTGCAGGAACAGGAATTTTAAGAAGGTGGTGGGTCTTTCTAACGGTGGCGATCTTTCGCCAGTTATAGATGCTGTTTGTTGAGATCATCACCTTGAGCCGTTTCCATGAGCGAAACATTGGCTTGTGATACCCGCTTTATCCACCGAGTTTTAATACTTTTGCTATAGGAAGCCCATTATAGCATCCCAGGAGGAAATATTCCCCTCCCAGAGCAGGTATGCCTCAAGCTTTCAGCCTTACCTTCTTTTCGACGTCTGCCGTCTTTCGGCTCCAACTCGAGAAGCTCACTGACTGGAGTAAATCTTGCATGCTAAATCAGCTAACAGTCTGGCTAACAGCGATGATCTTTTCCTAATCTCAACTCTGCCGAAGTTACAGGTGCCTGAAAGAGAAAAGAGTCATTCTTTACGTGGTCCTATTATTTAACCATCATTATGCGCCGAAGTTAGCACTGCTTAACGCACTTCGACCCGTCGTTCTTTCTCCTTTGTTAGAACAGCTGTCTCCACGCCGTACAGTAGCACTGACCTGACTAAGACAAAGTACAGGCGGATTTTCTTGGAGAGTAATTCTATTCTCAGCCAAAATATTGGACAAGTTGCCAAAAACACTCTAAACTAGGACAAATCTCCATATTTAACTCTCGTTGGATAGTGCTCTTGCAAGAGTTGATGGAGCTGAAATACTTTAATCGGTCAACTTCTTGAAAGACTTCACTTTCCTTTTCCACTTGTATGCCACCTGTGCCGAATGGCTTTCTCGTAACGTTTGATTTCCGGACGTTGAAGAAAATGCCGGCTTTCGCAGTTTTGTTGCGTACGGAAGCTGCCACGTGTCAGAGCTCGTTTCTCGTGTTATTCACCAGGTCATGTCAATATCATTTGCATACTCCTGGTCAGCAAGATATCCGTCCGGGTACCTTGAACTGCGCTTTCCCTCTAGAATGAGACTTTCGTCTTTGCCGGGGTCAGCACTTTTTGGAAGAACAATGGCCAAGGTCAAAAACATCTTGTCGAACTCTGCGGTTAATAGGGAACCACTCACGTGGCTCTCCTTCAACTCTGACAACAGAGATGGTTCCATGTATCTCTTCCAAAATAAAAACAGTTTGTTGGTGCATCTCATGGCATTTC